CCCCCCCCCCCCCAATGAACCGCGGTCACTTCAGGCGAGGAACAGTACATGATATTCATCATATTATAACGTAAACTCCAATAACTATGTTTTCCATCCAAATAATCTCTGTATTTCGTGCGGCCAATCTGATAGCCTAGATATACTTGACCACTTCATTTTCCCTAGTGGAAAAACATAAGGCAGAGGCGTAACATGCCTGATCAGAATGTCGGATCGGACTTGATCAGTTTTTGATCGAGACCTGAACAGAATTTCCACTCGGGTATGAGTCAGTTTGAGAGTGAAATTCGTAAGTGTCCTGGTAGCTCAGATGGTAAGAGCATCCAACGGGACATTGGGAGGTCCCGGGTTCGATTCCTGGCTAGGAAGTTACTAATTTTTTCTCTCAAAAAATTACATTTAATTAATGCCTAATGATGGAAGGCGGAGAAACCCTAGTGGAAAAATATAAGGCAGAGGCGTAACATGCCTGATCAGAATTTCGGATCAGACTTGATCAGTTTCTGATCGAGACCTAAACAGAATTTCTACTCGGGTTGTACTGCCCCCTTTACTCTGTATAAAGGATCAAACTCCACGATTCTATGGACCGAGTAAAAATATCAATCAACCCTAACCTAGCGACAATATTGAAATGTAACAAAATTAGTGTTATGAAAACCCTGTACTACTTCACACTCAACAGCTGAATACTCAGAGCCAGACCCTGCTAAAATGGATCTAAAGCTATAACTTTTCAGCACGGAAACTCCTTCGAGTATGTATTTAGCACAGGAAAATAGTAATAAATCATAAAATGCCCAATTACACTCATTACTGAAGAATATTGTATTATTATGTACCGAGCGTCCGCCCGATTGAAACAAAGATGTTTGTATCTTTATATTCAATAAACTTATTTATATTCATTCAACAATGTTTTGCACGCCCGGTAGCTTGGCGCAGTGGGTAAGTTCGTTGCCTCACATGCGAAAGGTTCCGAGTTCAAAACCCGGCCGGGTAGAATGGTGAGATCTAACCACTTAAAGTATTGATCGTCATCGCAGGATACCCAAACCGAGGCAAAGCGTCATAAAATGACAATAAAACAAAACAATGTTCTGCTTGAGTTCCGTCAGTTAAACTGAATGTAAAGCAATTATCTGGCCTAAAGAAGTTATTGATTCATTGATATGTTTCTATTAAACTTTTTGAATGTTTTATGTTTCATACTTCAAGATAAAAAAAACTATGCCACCACTTTCGTTGCACGGTCAACTGCTGTGGCGCGAGTTTTTCTACTGTGCAGCGACGAAAAATCCAAACTTCGACCGTATGCAGGGGAATCCAATTTGCCTACAAATTCCGTGGGATAAGAATGCTGAAGCACTTGCTAAATGGGCCAATGTGAGTAAACTTTGCAATGATAGAGCCATCAGAATATCTATGGTATACCATTCGCTTTCCGTCGACCATAAACAATGAGCCAGTTTCTTGTCTTAAATATTGCTAAGGAATCACTCAATTTGAACATGAGTTATTCTATGTGAACTTAACCATTGCCAGTATTAACCAGAACAAGAAAATAGTTGTGGTACAGTCTGAATGTTCACATCTATTTGAACACACGCGTCTTGTGCACTTTCAGGGCAGAACATGATTTTTAACTTGTGCGGAATGATATTTGAACTACATGGGATAAATGGTGAATGCCATTCTCTATCGCTCTAACGTAGGACGATGGCATCCGAGTGCCACCGAGAACAAATGCTCGAACGCGCTAGTGTCAGCGGCGTGTGAAAGACAGCAGAGGCACTAGCGCGGTAACATACGAAAATTAATATCACAACATTACTTCCCCTTCTACAAGAAGAAAAAAAAATTTGTGAAACAAGAAAAAAAAATTTCTCGAGAAAACCTTAATTGTGAGGTTTCTAAGTAAAGTAAGTTCATAAGTGATATCATCACAGATACTCGATAATAATATACAAATAAATAACACATTATACAAGGGGTTCCATTTGAAACCGGACCGTTAAAAATTTCTCCATGGAGGAGTCGTACAGTAAACCAAGTCTACCGAATGTTGTGGGATGTGGAAGAGGACACTCGGTGCAGATAGAATTTATGCTCCCATTGTTCATGTTTTTATGCTGCAGGCCAGAAATCAGTTTATTCAAAAGACAATATAATTTTTAACCCCTCTGAAAATTGTACATCTCATTGAGGTGAATTCAACTATATCCTATTTCGTTATTTTTTCATTGATTTTCTATAAATAAGCCGAAATGATTTTATCTATATTCAGGCTCCCGGAGCACGTCTAAGCGCTAGGATATTGTTTCCCTAGTAATAAAGCAATTGATAAATTGAACACAAATGGCCTCCAACTATGTACGAAAGAACGGTTTTCGTAGCGGGTTGTTACTATTCATTTTCCATCAGTTTGACAATCGTCTTTTCTCCAATCATTGGTTTGGTAGAGGTGGTTTTGTGCAGTGGCTGCCTCGATTTCCTGATCTCACACTATACGATTTTCATTTATCGGGTGTAACGTGACATTTTCTCATGGGGGTTAAAAATGCCTATTACCTTCGCCCTTCTTCCCCTTAATCTAGTTAAACTCAAAAATGCAAAAATCTATGGGCGCCAGGTAATTTTTAGCCGGAATTACCAAACCGGAGAAGTCCACAAAATCAGTTCTAACCAATTCGAAAATCTCTAAAACGTACTCAAAAAGGGAGAAAACTAGATTTCTGGGGAAAGGTAACGGTCTTTGGTTAGCTCAGAAATGCTCCGACACCAAAACCTCTTTGATGATTATGAAATGTTCCGTAAACATAACCTCCAAGATGGCTACCACCCCCAACTTGATTATCATAATAAGTAACGAATTGAACCATCTTCTCAAATTTATTCTACTCTCTTGAAATGAAGTGTCACGTGTAGTGGTGCGTACTTGAATGGTATCAATCGCATATACTTATCCCTTATATCTATTTCAATACTTTGAAATGAAGTATGTAACAGAGGATAATAAAAAGGATCAAAGTTTTTTGAAAAATTTGATCCGTGAAGACAATTAATTGAATTAAATGGTACAATTCTCAACAGTGGTGATTTCACAGACCCAACTATATGCATATGTCCGTGTAAATAAAAAGATTCTCGGGCAATCCTTTTTCGAGACTAGCTGGGTACTTGCCCACTTTAAACGCTAAATTCCGGAATTCAATTCCTGCCCACGTATAATCAAAACCGAGCATTGATCAGATTTACATACACGTTTAATCATAACGAAATTAATCAATTTATCATTTTATCATAAGTAAATTGAAAATGTTTTACTAGCAATATATTTCTGTTAATACCACGAACAAAAGTGTCTAGATCAGGAAAAACACCGTGAGGTATGACACATTGAGAGGATACAGGGTGTCCCATAGGAATGTGTGAAAACTAAACTCATCTGCCGACTCATCCAAAATAACCTTGACCCTCTACGTTTATGTTACGTTTACTAGGGACCAGTCAGTTTTATTCCAACTGTGGCAGGAGCCTTTTGTTTGTTATCAGTAATAAGTGATTTGACAATTCAAGAAAAAAGATATTTCATCGAGTGCTTCTATTCGAGAGGGAAAAAATACTATGAAGCTGTTAGAGGGTTTCGTACTAAATTTGGATCCAAACGAGTTGCTAGCGAAACCACTTTGAGGAGGTTAGAATAATTTTTTTTTCATATTGATTGTGTGATACAACAAAACACATTACAGATTGTCGTAGAAATCCCGTTGGTTTCTAGTCATGATAATATTCTTTGTCTAGAATAATTGAAAATTTCGAGGAATACGGCACTTTGGATGATTGTAGAGCTACTCTTCCAGGTCCCTCATTCTCTGCTGCAACAGAGGAGAAGGTCGATGAAGTTGAACAGTATTTCAAGGCAAATCCCAACTCGTCCATTCGGAGAGCCGCTCAAGATTTAAAATTGACCAAATCAACGTTGCATCGCATCGTCCACGTTTTTTTGAAACTTCATCCATATAAAATATTGATGTGTCAGCGTTTGACAGAGGAGGCGATTCTGAGACGAAAGGAATTTTGTGAAAGAATGACACAAATGTTCTAAAATGGCGAGCTGCATGAAAGAGCGATTGTTTTTTCTGACGAGGCACACTTTTGGCTAGACAACTACGTGAACAAAAATAATTTGAGAGTTTGGGGATCTGAAAAACCCAATTTTTTGGTTACGAAATCTGCTCATCCACAGAAATTCACTGCTTGGGCTGCTCTCTCCATGAAGGGTGTCTATCTACATTTTTGAATCAACCATTACCGGGAATGAGTACAAAAGAATGTTGGGAACAAAATTCTTCCCCCATGCGAGAAAAAGAGGGCTTGTCAATGGGTTTTATTTTATGCAGGATGGAGCAGCTCCCCACCGTACTCACGAAGTTTTTGAAATTCTTAATACAGTTTATCGCGGTCGAGTTCTTGGTTTAGGATATCCAAAATTTTGTGGAGGGGGAATAGATTGGCCACCCTATTCACCAAATTTGAATCCGTGTGATTATTTCTTGTGGGGTTACATAAAAGATTCTTGTTACGCAAAGAAGCCAAAAACAATCGAAAATTTGATAAACAACATTAAAAAGACTGTTCACGGTATTCCACAGGAAACATTAGAACGTGTATTCCACGGTTTTAGGAAACGTTTGGATTATTGCGCCAGTGTTAATGGTTCTCATCTCAAAAACCTTTACTATTAATCGCACTTGTCATGTACAATTTTTGTAAGCTACTATTTTTGTTGGGTGAATTACATGTTTTAATAATTAATATACAGTGAAATAAAAATGACAACTCTTCTCTATCAGGAACTGTATTCCTTCTCTTTTTCCCTGTTTCGAGTAAAAAAAAATAATCAAACATTCTTCACACATTCCCATGGGACTCCCTGTATACCATTATTATCCACAGAGTTTTGTATAAAAGTAATTGATGCCTCGTNTAATATACAGTGAAATAAAAATGACAACTCTTCTCTATCAGGAACTGTATTCCTTCTCTTTTTCCCTGTTTCGAGTAAAAAAAAATAATCAAACATTCTTCACACATTCCCATGGGACTCCCTGTATACCATTATTATCCACAGAGTTTTGTATAAAAGTAATTGATGCCTCGTTTTCATTCAAATGAAGAAAACTATTCGGAAAATTAATTTCACAAAGTGCCACTCTCCATTCTCCTTGCAATATAATAATTCTTGATAAATGTGCTGTAAAATGAGACACTGTTTTCTCAGGATAATATTCTTCAGAACTATCACTTGATAGTGTGATATAAAAATCTGATTCGTTTATGTTAAATTAACAACACTATCCGCTGGTTTCCAACTATTGAATGAATCGGGATAACCCTTCCACTTGATTAAAACTTTTTTATATTTCCCTTTACCCCGACTACGAATTATACTTTCAATCTCAAATTGTTCTTTTTCGATATTTTTATTCACCAAAGCCAATTCACGTTCGTAAAAGAATTCGTCAATATCCCCACCAGTCAAATCATTCAATTCGTAAATAGGAATATTCTGACGTAGATGAGTTTTTTTTATTTGAAAAAGCTCATCGGCGCAATTTCCTTCGTAACCTTTCTGGAAGGCTGCCTTAGCTTGACGGATTCTAATATAGTCTCCCACCTCATACATAAAGGGTCGTATGCGGGGTTTGATATTTTTATAACGTTTCTGAATGTTATCCCAAACTTCTCCATGATTATTCATAGTTATAGATGCAGGCGTCATCTTGGTAGCAGAATAAATTGTGTGATTATATGCATCAACAATTTTTCGTAAAACATCTATATACTTATGTGTTTTTTTAAAAGTAAAATATCTCGACATACGTTCTTTTAATGTACGGTTGAATTGTTAAACTACGGCTGCTTTTATATCCGGCTGTCGTGACACTGTATACTGAATATTATTCTCAGATGAAAATTTCTGCACTACACTCCCCACAAATTCTTTTCCACGATGAGTTTGGATACAAAGAGGTACAAGATTATTGCTACGTTTGAATAAACGTTTGAAACCTTCCAATACTTCATTAGCTGATTTATTTCGAATAGGCTCCATCCATGCATATTTGCTGAGTACATCGATAACAACAAGTAAATACAAAACATTATCATTATATGAATTTGTTCGGTTTTCCAACGAATTGTTTTCCTCACACACTCACACACACTCGCTCCTCTCGCATGCTTGCATGCCTTCTCCTAACTGACCTGCGCAACCGACTGAACTGACCAGTGGCCTCTCACCGACACCTGAGGCGCCACTTGATGTACAGGTGTCCAGCAAACGCCCTCATTTAAATTGGGGCACGTTTGGACCCACGATG